TCAACACGGTTGGGAAGATGCCAGGAACGCATATAACCAAAGTCAACACAAGATAAACTCACGTTTGCTCCCAGCAGTTGCTGCACGCAGCCGGCATCTCTTTTAAACTCTCATTCCCAGGTGTGGCTAATGAAGGGAATCAGGGCCCTTTCCTCCCCCGTAAGCCACACAACCCACATTGCTCCATTCTCTGTTCCTCCATGCGTGTCCTAGGATGAAGAAGGGGGTGGGCCTGGGTCTTCCTCCGAATTCCCTCTCCCTTGTTCTACCTCTTCCCTGCTCTGCCCAGCCAGACTTTGCCCTTCCCCAGTTTCTTCCACAGCCAACGGAGCCACACTCCCACTCCCTGTCAGCTGTTCATCTTCCTCCTTGGATTCAGACTACGACAGGGGCATGACACCGTCTTCCAATATTTGAGGGGCTGCCTCCAAAGCACCAGAAGGCAGGACAAGAAAGAAGGGGGTGGAAATTCATCAAGGAGAAGCAACATAGAATGAAGGAGAAAATTCTTGACTGTGAAAACAATTAAATCAGCGGAACACCTTGCCACCAGAAGTCGTGGGTGCTCCAACGTTTGTCTGGAATGGTAGAGGGTCTCCTGCTTGAGCAGGGGGTCAGACTAGAAGACCTCCAAGGTCCTTTCCAATTTAAAAAAAAAACCTTTGTTGGGATTTCTCATTCAGGACCTTCGGTCACGAGCCTCATCAACCAATCTTTTCAACAAGCTGTTGACGCTTAATTTATGGGCTGGTCCGCAACCATCGTAACAACAGTGATGAGAACTCCTTCCCCCCCCATCCGCTGAAAACCTATTTGCATATAGATTAAAATACGGTCCGTTGGCCTGCTTCTGGATGGGCCCATTTAGCATCTTAATGGGGCCCGCTGTCAAAAAATCCGTGCCCTCAAATGAAAGCGGGTAAGTCATGCGTTGCTCGTCCAGAGGTTGGGCTTGGATAATGAAGGGGGCAAACCAGGTGGCCTGTGGAGCTGCTGCAGATGTTAGAAAACATCTGGAAAACGTGCACATCCATCGGCGGCGTTTTCGCACACGCGGCACCTTGGGCTGGCACCATCCAACGGAGCTCGGCTTTTGGTTTGAAATGTCCTTCGGCTTAGTCCCTGGCGATTAAGGGCACTGGAGTTTTTAAAAGAAGAAGTTGGACAGCCATTTTGTCTGAAACGTTGTAGGCAGGGGTGGGATTCAAAAATCCGGTTCGCTGCCCGGTTGCTGGATGGGCGTAGCCTACTGGAACTTCTGGGGGGGGCATTTTTTGCCTTCCCCACAGTCCGGAAGCTCCCTTCGGGCCTGTGGGAGGGAGAAAACGGCCTCCCTCGGGCTCCAGAGGCCCTCTGGAAGCCGAAACAGGCCCATTTCCAAACTTCCAGAATTTCCAGGAGGACCATTGTTTGTCTTCCCCACAGTCCGGAGGCTTCCCTCGGGCCTGTGGGAGGGTGAAAATGGCCTCCCCCAGGCTCCAGAGGCCCTTCGGAAGCCAGAAACAGGCCCATTTCCAAACTTCCGGAATTTCCAGGAGGACCATTGTTTGTCTTCCCCACAGTCCGGAGGCTTCCCTCGGGCTTCTGGGAGGGTGAAAATGGCCTCCCCCAGGCTCCAGAGGCCCTTCGGAAGCCAGAAACAGGCCCATTTCCAAACTTCCGGAACTTCCAGTTTGGCCATTTTTCACCCTCCCAGAGCCTCCACATGGACCCTGCACTTATCTGCATCCAAAATGAGCCACGTGGAGACTCCTGGGAGGGCCGGGCCGGGGTGGGGCCAGCCAGTCAGTTCAACTACTGGTTTGGCAGACCAAATGTAAATTTAACATCCGGCTCGCTTAAACCGGTCCAAACTGGCTGAATCCCACCCCTGGTTATAGGGCAGTTTGTTAGAGAGTGCACAGGTTTATCACATGTATCAACCAGGAGCAAGTATAGCCAACAGTGGTTTGTATTCAATCGTGGTTTTTATCTACAATAGGAATATAGGAATATTATACATACAGATGCTACAAGCAGGATCTGAAGAAACAGCCATTACAGCAGGGAATAATTTGATGGACTAACAAACACTCTAGCAAGCCTTCCTCTTATTAGACAGGCTCTTAAAGGGATAACAGCCAAAAAAAACAACCCTGCTGACTCATTCCCATCATTTCATTAGCTGGTCAGCTCTTAATTTATCACCTTGACAGCAGTGTTTCTCAACCTTGACAACTTTAAAATGTGGGGACTTCAACTCCCAGAATTCCCCAGCCAGCCATCTAATCGAGGAGAGAAGCAACCTGGAATTAAAGAGAAACTTCCTGACAATGAGAACAATTAACCAGTGGAACGACTTGCCACCATAAATTCTGGGTGCTCCAACACTGGAGGTTTTTAAGAAGAGATTGGACAGCCACTTGTCTGGAATGCTATAGGGTCTCCTGCTGGAGTAGGGGGGTTGGACTAGAAGACCTCCAAGGTCCCTTTTCCAGCTCAATTCTGATTCTGATTCATCCAATTTGATATTCAACGCATTTTGATATGAAATTTTTGTTCCGGTACTCATTGTTTGTTTGCTACTCAATGCATAAGCTAAGACATTCCAATACCAGCTGCCTTATGAGTCGCTACATTATTCCTCGTGGGAAATATTTGTTTGGTACTCATCGTTTCTGGTACAGTTAGTCCTCGACGTATGACCATAACTGAGCCCAAAATTTACCTTGCTACATGAGAAATTTATTCAGGGAGTTTTGCCCCATTTTACAACTTTTCTTGCCACTTTTGTTAAGTGAATCACTGCCCTTCTTAAGTTAGTAACATGGTTGTTAAGTCAGAACAGAACTGAAAAAGCTTCTTGTTTCAAACCCTTAATCTGGTTTGGAATTAAATTTACATCCAAAGAAACACAGGGATTTCTCTGCATCTCACCATACTTTTAAAAATTTTTCTCTCTCTCTCTCTTTCTCTCTCTTCTTCCTTTCTTTCCTTTCTTTCTTTCTCTCTCTCTTTCTCTCTCTTCTTTCTTTCTTTTTCTTTCTCTCTCTCTCTTCTTCCTTCCTTTCCTTCCTTCTTTTCTTTCTTTCTCTCTCTTCTTTCTTTTTCTTTCTCTCTCTCTTTCTCTCTCTCCCTTTCCTTTTTTCTTTCTCTCTCTCTCTTTCTCTGTTCTTTCTCTGTTCTTTCTTTTCTTTCTTTCCTTTTCTTTCTTTCTCTTTCTTCTTCCTTCCTTCCTTTTTTCTTTCTTTCTTTCTTTCTCTTTCTTTCTTTCTCTTTTTCTCTCTGTCTTCTTCCTTCCTTTCTTTCTTTTCCTTTCTCTCTCTCTTCTTTCTTTCTTTCTTTCTTTCTTTCTTTCTTTCTTTGTTTTTCTTTCTCTTCTTTCTTTCTTTCTTTCTTTCTTTCTTTCTTTCTTTCTTTCTTTCTTTCTTTCTTCCTTCCTTCCTTCCTTCCTTCCTTCCTTCCTTCCTTCTTTCCTTCCTTCCTTCCTTTCTTTCCTTCTTTCTCTTTCTTTCTTTTCAATCCAAGAAGCAAAACCTCTTCAAGGAAAAAAACTGGTGACTTTTGAAAGAGCACTTTTGGGATAACCAATGATCTGGATGACTGAAAATCTCCACACACTTTTGGGAATTCCATGCCTAGAGGATTTTGCTTCCTGATCTGTCCTCCTCAAAGGGCTGAAAATTGAGTCTGAAAATTGAAAATATGAGCCAGCAATGTATGGCAGCAGCCAAAAAAAAGCTAATACCGTCCTTGGTGGTATAAACAGAGGTACCGAATCAAAATCACGTGAAGTATTGTAGTACAGCTTTATAAAGCCTTGGTAAGGGCCTACTTGGAATACCGCAACCAGTTTTGGTTACCACATTACAAAAAAGATGTTGAGACTTTGGAAAAAGTGCAGGGGAGAGCAACCAAGAGGATTAAGGGCCTGGAGATAAAATAAAATAAAATAGGAAGAACAGTTGCAGGAATTGGATATGGCTAGTCTAGAGAAAAGAAGGACTAGTTTAGTTTAGTTTACTTTATTGTCATTGCTCCTCGTACAACGAAATCAAACGCCATCTTCAGTGCACATCATGACCATGAAAATAAACACAAACACACATCCTTCACACTCCACACCTTGAATGGAAAACCCCTGATATTGCATTAATGTTGCATTATACAGTAGAATTCAACAGAGCTACTGCCCTTATTGTCTCCACACCATGGAGGTTTTTAAAAAGTTAAACACTGTTTAAAGTTTTCTTTTTTTAAAAAAAGTTATTAAGAGTTTTTAAGACTGGACCACCTCTTGTCTGAAATTTTATAGGGTCTCCTGCTAGGATGGGAAGTTGGATTCCGAGGTCCCTTCCAACCCTATACTGATTGATTGTCTGAATTCCTGGAGACCAGGCCAGCTAGACATCTAACATCCTTTCTATATCCTTTGGGAATTTAAGATGCTGCTAACTGGGCACGATACCGCAGACTGAATTATTTAAAAGTCGGTTGCTATGGCTTGCTGGCCCTGCGATGGTTGCTGGTATTCGATTCCCCGTTGTGCATTGGTTAAGTGGTTGCTGAAAAGTATTCAGTTAATTAAAAGCCAAGTGTTGAAAGAGAGATTTGCTGATCTGGCTTAATAATTGGCCCAAAACGTCCAGGGGACTCAGAGTTGAAAAATGTGAAAGCTCAAAGAAAAGAAAAAAAAACAGCGAAGAAGGAAAACCCCAGGAAGGTGCAAGACCTGAAAAAAATTGGAATTTCAGCTGGTTTTCGGCAGGAGGATCTTAGGAATTTGGTGGTGGACCCCCTGTAAATCGTTATCCCCTCAAACTTTTGTATGAAGCAAAAGAAATCAGGAGAGAGGAGACGACTTATGGATTAAGGCAGGAGATGTCTTCTAGAAGGGGAAGCGGGAGAAGGATTTATTTTCATACCAGAAAGTAGACTGAAGAGCCAAAACTTCATGGCGCTTTGGAAGAAGACCAGGGGTGACTTGATAAGGGAAGGATAAGGGAAGCTGAAATGCCACCATGTTCCAGTACCACAGTGAGATGGGCATCCATGAGAGAGATCAGAAAAAATGGGCGCTGATCCGAAATGTCAACCAAGCGCTGAAAGTCCATCCGCTTTTGTCGGTAAGAGAAAGTTGAGTCTTGGGTTGTTGTTGTTGTTTTTTTGAGAAATAGAGAGCTGCCCGTCCTTTGCACGCTTTATTTGGAAGGAAGACGGCGTAAAGGAGGTGTTACTTACTTCTGTGTAAGCTTGGAGAATAATTGGGGAAACAAAGGGTGCATTGAAGGGTCTTCTGGGGTGATGGTAGTTTTTTTTTTTTTCCCCAAGCGAGGACTTTTTAAGCGAGGCACGGTGGCATCTCCTTAGCTTCTGAGCTGGTTGGAAAGAGGCTTGAAGTATCTGCCGTTTTTCATAATCTTTGAAAGTATTTGTTGATGTGTTAAGAATGAGCTCCGTGACTTGAAATGGAATGTCTCAAATCTTGAGAGAGAGAGAGAGAGGGAGAGAGAGAGAGAGAGAGAGAGGGAGAGGGAGAAAGGGAGAAAGGGAAAAGAGAAGGAGAGAAAAAGAGAATGATATAGAAAGAGAAAAGAGAAGAAAAAGAGAGAGAGAGAGAGAGAGAGAAAAGAAAAGGAGTAAGAGAGAGAGAAAAGAGAAACAAAAGGAAAGGGAGAGAAGGGGAAAGAAAGAGAAAAGAGGAGAGAGAAACAAAGAGAAAAGAGGAGAGAGAAACAAAAAGAGGAGAAACAGAAAGGGAGGGAAAGAGAAAGAAAGAAAAAAGGAGAAAGAGAAAATAGAAAGAGAAGGAAAGAGAGAGAAGGGGAAAGAAAGAGAAGAGAGAGAGAAACAGAGAAAAGAGGAGAGAGAATGAGAGAAAGAAAAGAGAGAAAATAGAAGGAGAAAGAGAAATGGAAGGAAAGAAAAAGAAAGAGAGAAAGAGAAACAGAAGGAAAGGGAAAGAAGGGGAAAGAAAGAAAAGAGGAGAGAGAAACAGAGAAAATAGAAAGAGAATGAGAATGAGAGAAAGAAAAGAGGAGAGAGATAAAATAGAAAGAGAAACAGAAGGAGAGAAAGATAGAAAAGAGGGAGAAAGAGAAAAGAGAGAAAGAAAGAGAGGAAAGATAAGGAGAGAAACAAGGAGAAAGAGAGAGAGAGTCAATGCAATATTTTCAGTTTCTCTGCTTTTATAGTATCAGGGGGCTGGGAGAGTCCCTTGAGACCATCAATTCAACCCTTTTTCAGAATGTAGATTAAAGACTGCCCAGAATTTTCAGGGAGTTGGCTGGTTTTAATTAACATAATAAATAAATTAAAACCACCCAACCAAATAAGTAAAGCCTGGTTGAAAAATGGCTGTCCAGTTTTACTTGAACCTACCTAATAAAAGGGAAACGAACGGGTGAGTGAATAGGTGATTCTGCTGTCAAATTACTTTTAATATTTAACATATTTTTCTAGCAATCAATCCACCTCTGTCTTTCCGTACCTGAATTTTTTTTTCTTTTTGCATCTTGCAAATCAAAAGGGCTGAGAAGAGGCCTCAATCGTTTTCTCTGTGACTCCCTTTGAAAAGGATTATGGTTTCCAGAAATATTTTTGTTGGACAGAAATATTTTAGTTGGGATGTTGGCTGAAACTTACAGTAAAGGAAATGCATATTTAATTATACATGCATTAACTGCAGCGAGAATTCTATTTGCACAAAATTGGAAAAGTAATGAGATCCCTATAGATGGGAATGTGACTAGGAAAATATTAGAATGTGCAGAAATGAATAGGTTAACACTTGCTATTAAAAGAGAAAGAACAAACAGAAGATTATATGACATGGGAGCTATTTTATGGATGGTTGGAGAATAAAAATAGAAGTGAGAAATAAATAGAGATTAGTGAAATTAAGAATATATATTAAGATAGAGATGTAAACAATATGATGACTATTATATATGATAAAATGATCATACTCAACATAATATTATATTCTCATTAGAAGATAGGTTAAGAGGGAGAAATGAATCTATATATATAAAAGCGAAATACCCCTCGCGCATCATCACAAAATCTCCAGAGCTGTAAAGCCTACAAACTTGAAATTTGGCCTGTGTGTTCCTCTTGGCTTCTAGGTGCTCACTAAGAAAGGATATTTATCAAAATGACCATCAGAGCATTAGTATTTCCTATATTATTATTATTATTAACACACTCTGATGCTAAGGAGTTCTACTCCCCCTCCCCACCTGAAAAGAAATCTCTTCCAAATGCAAAACACAAGCAGAGTAATTTCAGTTTCAGTTTCACAGCAGCACCAAGCAGCTTTAGTACAGAGCAGTTGAGCTAAGCCACGCCCGGGCTCCTTGCTGTCTCCTTCTTGCTCACACAGCAAATACTCTTTCAGTTTTCAAACAGCCCTCAACTCTCTCACACATTGACAGGACGCTAGCCAGATGAATATCGATGGATGCTGGTAGGCAGAGGCAGAATTTCCCGCCCCCCTTATTTTCCTCCCCAAAAACTAAGCCTGACCACATAGTTTCGTAAGCGAAGCACGGGTATCCAGCTAATAGAGTTCTAATGCTGATGATTAATATTGTAAGATTAGAGAATTATTATCAATGTAATGAATATTGTAAACTTTGATTGTAATTGCACTGAGACAATTGTATTCAGACGACACACTGTTTAATGGAAGATATGTTCAAGTTAAAAAAAAATTTAAAAAAAAAATTATTAAAAAAGAAGAAAAGAATTATGGTCTCATAATACATCTACATCTAATCTTCTCCAGATCGTAGAAACACGATTCCTTCTTGAAATATACAGAGAGTCCTCGACTTAAAACAGTTCATTTAGTGGCTATTCGAAGTTAACAACGGCAATGAAAATTCCAAAGCTTTGGAATCTGAATTTTTTTTCCCCCCAAGAAATTATGGGGTTCTCCAGCATGGGGAGAGAGAAGCAGAGTTCCTATCATACAGGAAGTCCTCGATTTGCAACCTCCATTGAACCCAAAACTTGTCCGTTAAGCCTAAAAGAAAAACCTCTGGGTTTTGTCTTGACTGTCGTCACTTTAAGAATCTTCTGTACGGATAGTCTTGAGGGCAGAATTTGCTAAATGAGAATATTGTGTTTTACGACTTTTTTTGCCACACGTTGTTAAGCGAGCCCCTGGCAGCTGTTAAATTACGAAACCAGCTGTTAAGTGAAACGGGCTTCCCCGTTGCCTTTGCTTGTCAGGTGGGGAATCACGTGACTCCCGGGGGATGCTCGACCGTCATAAATATGAACCAGTCATCAAGCCAGCCGAACGTAAATCACGTGGCCTCTGGGGGATGCTACATCGGTCGTAAGTGTGGGAAAATGGTCATAAGTCACTTTTTTCAGTGCCGTCGTAACTTAAATCACTAAACGAACAGCCAACAGGGAATGGGAGTGTGGCTCCGGTGGCTGTGGAGGATATTGGGGAAGGGTACAGTCCAGCTGTGCATTCAGAGGAAGACACAGGCCCACCCACTCTGCATCCTAGGGCACGCAGGGAGGAACGGATAAGGGAGCAACGTGGGTTACGGGGGAGGAAAGGGCCCTGATTCCCTTCATTAGCTGCAGCTGGGAAAACAGGATTTAAAAAGGGCGTTTGCACACAGAACCTTGCTGGAAGCAAAGCGTGAATTATCTTTGTTTGTCAAGCCTTATCTGGATTCTGGCGTCCTCCCGACTTGTGTGTGTTTCGTTATCTTTGGAAGTCTGCAATTCCTTATCCTGCCTTGTCTCGTTAATTGCTGCAGTGTGGTTTGTGTTGGTTTTTCTTTATAATTTATATGTACTTTGGGGTTTGGATGGAATTTCTTCCCTTTAAAAACTCTTCCTGGGAGAGTTTTTTTCTCCGGTCGATGATAACTGGACATTGGCGGCCAAATTGGAGGTATTAAAGGAACTTTACCTATTTTTGTGACTTTGTTGTTTTTGTGCCATGCCCCTTTGGGTCATCACACTGTGTTTCTTCAGGACTTAAATGCCTTTTTTGTATTTTCTCCAAGGGGGATTATGTATGGATGGACCTCAGGACCAGACGGGAATTCGATGTTCCCATCGGAGCGGTGGTCAAGCTATGTGATTCCGGACAGATCCAGGTCATCGACGACGAAGGAAATGTACGTAAAACGAATGTGTGATGGACCCCATTGTCTCCTGGATGTTCCTTATCTACAATCTTGAGGCCTTTACGGGTAGTCCTTGACTTACAACAGTTCATTTAGTGACCGTTCACGAAATGGCCAAGAAGCAAAACGTCTTTGAGGAAAAAAAACAACAGCCCAAGAAAGGTCCAGTTGCCTTTGGAAAACCATCCTTGGGACAACCATGAGGAGTGGTGCGGTGGCCCTAGAGGTGGCATTCTTGCCTCACAATCAGAGAGGCTGTGAGTTCGATCCTAGGTAGAGGCAGATATTTCTCTTTCTGGGCACAATGAGGATATGTCTGCTGAAAAAAAACAAAAAATCCTCCGTATTGGTGACAGGAAGGGCATCCAGCCAGGAAACACTCTGCTAGTTCCATTCAGTTGACCTGACTCCATCCCGCAAGGGATTATGGGGTCATTAAAAGATGATGATCTTTGGGACAGCCATGATCTGGATGACCGAGAATCTCCACAGATCTCGGGTGAAATGTTCAGCAACTTGTCAGATAGCACCCAATGTTCAAGTCTGTCGAGATCCTTCTGGATCTTGAGCCTTTATCTTCTGGAGGGTTAGCTATTCCTGACAGCTTGGCGTCATCTGAAAATTTGATGAGTTCCCCATCTATCCCGTCATCGAAATCATTGATGTAGATGTTGAAGAGTACCGGGCCTAAAACAGAGCCTTGGAGTACCCCACTGCATACTTCCCTCCATGTAGACGCAGTTCCATTGAAAACCATTTGTCTGAATGGTAGAGGGTTTTTCTGCCTAAGCAGGGGGTTGGACTAGAAGACCTCCAAGGCCCCTTCCAACTCTGTTCTCTATTCTACTCTACTCTGTTCTATTTATTGTATTCTATTTGTTGTATTCTATTTATTCTATTCTATTCTATTCTATTCTATTCTATTCTATATTCTATTCTATTATACTCTATATCCTTTTTTCTTCTCCATCCTTTTTTAAATTCTATTCTATTCTACTCTATCCTTTCTCTTCTCCCTCCTTTCTCTCTCTTCTCTTCTCTTCTCTTCTCTTCTCTTCTCTTCTCTTCTCTTCTATGCTAATCCTATGCTATGCTATTATTTTTATTCTATTCTATTTTATTCTATTCTTTTTAATTCTATTCTAGCCTATTTTTAATTCTTATTATTTTTAATTCTATTCTATTCTCTGTATTCTCTCTTCTATTTTCTCTTCTCTTCTATTTTATATATTCTATATTCTGTTCTACTCTCTTCTCTTTTCTTCACAAAAGCTGCCTTTTTAATCACATTTTTTTACTTGGGAAAAGAGGCTAGTCCCTTTGATTGGCTGCCTCTCAAGATGGACACAGCTTTGCTATGGCAAGTTTCCCCCAAAGCTCCACTTCCTTGAGATGTTCTGCAAAGCAAGACTCATTGTGAAGCCTTTTCAGTGGTGCTTTAACCATGTGCAGTTCAATGCTCGACTAACAGAGGGATACAATCAAGATCACGTGTGGTACTAATACCGCTCTAATAAAGCCTTAATAAGGACCACACCTAGAATCCTGCATCCAGTTTTGGTCACCACACTACACAAAAGACGTTGAGACTCTGGAAAGAGAAGAAGAGAAGAGCTACAAAGAGGATTAGGGGACTGGAGGCTACAAATATGGGGAACGGTTGCAGGAATTGGGTATGGATAGTCTAGGGAAGAGAAGGACCAGGGGAAACAGGAGAGCATCTTTCAATATTTGAGGGGCTGCCACAGAGAGGAGGAGGGGATCCAACTATTCTCCAAAGCACCCGAAGGCCAGACAAGGAATAATGGATGGAAACTGACCAAGGAGAGATTCAACCTAGAAATAAGGAGAAACTCTGACAGGGAGAACCATCAACCCATGGAACAGAAGTTGCCTTCAGAAGTTGTGGGAGCTTCATCCCTGGAGGCTTTCAAGAAGAGGCTGGACTGCCCTCTGTTAAAAAATGGTGTAGGGTCTCCTGCTTGGGTGGGAGGGGGTTGGACTAGATGACCTACAAGGTCCCTTCCCACTCTGTTAACCTAATCTAATCCATCTCTGTTAATCTGTAATTTAGACTTGAACTACTGGCACGGTGCATTCTTTCTTTTCTGTCTGGATGATGCTTGCTTGATTTTTATTTTTAATTTTTCCTCCCCCTCAGGAGCACTGGGTCTCTCCTCAAAATGCTGGCCACATCAAACCGATGCACCCGACTTCCATTCATGGGGTGGAAGACATGATCCGTTTGGGGGATCTGAACGAGGCTGGCATTCTGAGAAACCTTTTCATCCGCTATCAGGAGCGCCTGATTTACGTGAGTGTTTTCTCTCGACGGAAAAGTTATTGAACAGTTTTTCTTCCTTTAGATGATCAGGTTAATTTATATTCATCTTATGGCCATTTTTGTATTGTATTGCTATTATCACCTTCCTTGCCTTCTCACGTCTCATCTTTTCTCATCTTTCTTACTGTCTTGTCCTATTGGTATCTTATGAGTTATCACTTGTTGTTTATCTCTTATAATGATTATAATGGTTAATGATGACCTATGACTTTGTTGTATGTGTGTATATTTGTCTGCACCGGAGACAAATTCCTTATATGTCCCATCATACTTGGCCAATAAGGAATTCTATTCTATTTTATTCTGTTCTGTTCTTTTCTTTTCTATATATTTTATATTCTATTCTCTCTTCTCTTCTCTTGTTTCTCCTTCTCTCCTCTTCTATATACAGTATTTTATATTGTCTCCTCTTCTTGTTTCTTTTCTCATTTCTCTTTCTCTTCTCATTTTTTTCTCCTCTCCTCTCCTCTTCTATATATTTCATATTATCTCTTCTCTTCTGTTGTTTCTTTTCTCATTTCTCTTTCTCTTCTTATTTCTCCTTCTCTTATCTCCTCTCCTATATATTTTATGTTCTATTCTCTTTCTTGTTTCATTTCTCATTTCTCTTTCTCTTCTTACTTCTCCTTCTCTTATCTCCTCCTATATATTTTATGTTCTATTCTCTTTCTTGTTTCATTTCTCATTTCTCTTTCTCTTCTCGTTTCCCCTTCTCTCCTCTCCTCTCCTATATATTTTATATTCTCTCTTCTCTTCACTTTTCTTCTCTTTTCTTCTCTTCTCTTCTCTTTTCTTCTCTTCTGTCTTCTCCTCTCCCCCCCCCCCCCCCCTGTCCTGGGAAAAAATGGTTATTTTAACACAAAAATAACATTTTCCTGTTCCTTCTGCTTTGAAATCTAGACTAATTGTGGTGGAAGGGTAAGTATGCCAAGTGCCTTATTGTCACCCTGTCTTATGCACGGCTCTTTATTTAATGCTACGTTTTGTGGATCGCTTCCCCCTGCTTGCTTGGCTTGGGGGTGGCACATTTATGTCAACCCCCCAATCTGGTTGCTCACTGCATGTTTTGCAGCTTTGCAAAAAAAACAAAAAAAAAACAACAACCAAGGGCTCCAGGTGGGGAGGGACCAATCCTTCGCAATTATTTTGTCTTTTGGTTAACGCTTTCATTTGGATCGAGTCCGCGTCGTCTCTGCTACTGAAGTGGCTTTTGGGCTGAAAAATAGCATCGCACAATTCAGTCGGGTGTCTGTGGCAGTTGTGGGGTTGAATTGGAAAGTTTTGTAATTTTTTTTTTCCCCATGGGTCATTGGGAAAGATGGGAGCACAATTTTGGCAACAGAGAAGTCCCATTTCCTGCTGAAGAATATACAGCCGTGTTTCCCAAACTTGACAATTTTAAGATAAGAGAGGCGTTTCCAACTCCCAATATTCCCCAGCCAGAATGGCTGGCTGGAGAATTCTGGGAATTGAAGTCCATCCATTGCTGACTGGGAAATTCTGGGAGTTGAAGTCC